AATGAGCTTTCCTCAGGTAATCATTAGGAAAACTCTGTTATTGATTTTTTTGATTCACTGCTTATAACCTGGAAAAAACATCGACACGAGGATCAACTTGAGAAAGGCTCTAATCCATTCATATGTTATCATCAAAGTCTTCTTTTTATAGATGCATTAAGCTGTGTTGATTGACTTTAACTCCTCCGAATTGCTGTTGTAATTGTTCAACCTACCTCGATCGGGCGAAATTCCTAGGAGTCTGTGATGACCGAACACCGACAACTATCAACGTCCAAGTTTCAGTTTTTACAACCATTAACCATGCACTTTTGGCCGCCCATTTGGATAAAAGAGCAGATTGGAATTTTGAGAGCAGAGTTAATGAGAATATAACGAATTCATATCGACTGGGGTTGCAAGAATAATGAGTAGATGCACGAGCATCACTGTTTGCGACACTCAGCCACATCACTTAGTGTCTCTAACCATTGACTACAATGATTCCGAGGCCCCCATTCAGGAAGCCTAACGCGAACCATATGACCTAGTCTCCTGGTCAGGGTTTTCATACCTTCACGCCGGGTTTTAGTTTGACCACCCATTACCTTTTTCCCTCCTATCACCTAAATTGTCAAACATTGCGCGCCGTGGCAACTTATTTGTTGACATGCGTAACACATGCCACAACCAGCGTAGTCTGTGGAGGTCAATTACTTGCTCCAGTGGATGACTGTGATAACCTAAAGCTCTGCTTGCAAAGTTCAAGTTCTATTATGGTAAACGCCAACAGGCTGTTGATTTTCTCGCCCCATTTGGTCATTGACACAGGTGAATCAACTGTCTGGACAGAAAGAAATGCTAGGCACCGTTTTACGTATGAGAGATATCAATCGTATGGTTTCACTGTTTCATTTTGTTTCGTGTACTTTGAGCTGTGGAGGGTGTACGAATGTTTCTTCTTCAAAAAAAGAAATAGATCTCTCGCGCACAGACAAGGTGAGATTCCAAGTGGTGCACATTCTGAAGATAAAGGACCGACTTGCTCATTCCAGTCAGCATTTTAGGGACTCTACCTTTAATCGATTTCCCCTGGGATGAACGTGTAGCAGCATAGTGAGCATGAAGTCCCGGGTTCGATCCCCAGTTGGGTCGATGGATTCGCACTGCTGACGAGACTCAACCAGGTCGAAACAGCTGTCCAGTGCTTCTTAGCTTTTCAGTTCACGCTTCTCATTTGATATATGATCAAATCCTCCATTACTCACGTTATTGTTTTTGTTTATCAAAATAATAACCCTAATTTTTCCGTCTTTAATGTTTGCTCATGCACTTCTTTAGTCGGTTTCCAAGAAGTAAATCTAGTTCAGTCAAATGCTGCTTAAGGAACAAAATAAATGAAAAAGGAACACGTTAGTGGCGGGTCTCGAAAAGACGAGCCCGGTCGTCTACTGTTATTAGCTCCTATCTCGTCATTGTATTGCATTAACCAGCTTCAATATGTCTGTATAGCTTTGTAGCCATGAGCATTGTTTGGTGGACAGAGTAGTTGCTTGCGCACTTGTGTGTGTCCCATGATTGTGATCGACCGAGGTTTTTTATTTGCTCTGTTTTTGACGTGGGAGAGCCTCGAATAACTTTTTTCAGCACTGTCGGATGGTAGACGTCAACCAAAGTGCGACTTCTGTATCGAAGAGGAAGCATTTCCTATATCATTGGTATTAGTTTATCAAATGTCTAACTAAATTACTTGTGAGAAAGCTCAAGCAATGTGTGAATGGTTGGGGGGTCGTTTGAAAATCACTTGTTCGTTTATTTCATGAAATAAGTCCGAAATATCGAAAAGTTTAAGCCCAACTTTTTGGTTTGCCTATCTCTTATCTCTACCCCTAGGGGTCGGATGTCACTTCTTCAGGAACCAAACCATCTATAATGGTCATCTCCACGGCTCAATCTCGTCCATGCAGCTCTGCACGTTCCTCTGACTGTGTATCATCATCCTCCGTTTCTGTTCCCCCTACTGATGCACATGAAGAAAACTCCGTCCATCGAACGATGCCATTCCGTGGAGCGAAATGCGCCCGAGACGCTACCGGGGAACCTTTCACGATGACCACCCCGTACAATGAAGTTAATGTTCCTAATCCGCTTAACCGCACACTTTGGTCTTTTCCCGCCCGGTCTGCGGTCGATCATTATGTAAGTTGTTTTTGCAGATAGTTGTTGAATCCCTTGCCTATTCGACGATATATGGTTTCTGTAACAAAGTGATCTAGACCGTTGTAATACTCGTGATATGATAAAAGCATTAGTTAATATCTTTGAATAAAGCGGATATGGTGCTAAATAAGGCTTAAATATAATAACCATCCTCATGGTTTACTATTTTGGGCAACTGTATTCTTCATTTTGCTCATTTATTTAACAGATACACCCACATCAGCGTTTTGTATGCAATTATTTCTGGTTTGCACTGAATGCTGTGGCTAAGCTGACAATTGCCGTTCCTCGTTGTAGTATACCGTTTACATCCACCAGATGCAAATTTTATCTATAAGCCACACTGATTTCGGTTCCTGCACTGGGCCCCAGTGATAATTTTCCAAAAGTGGTGGTACTGCCTTTTTATGTATCTGGAACATCCTTTCAGTTGCAGTCATGATGACAGACAAGTACCGTGGAAGGACGCAGATGACCAATTTAGTTTTCTGTAATTTGAGCCACTTGTGACCCATCAAATATACCCCATCGCGTAGAACTGTGCGTCTACCGCGGCACACTTCGTGCTGTGCTTCTTTATGGAAATGGTTCTTGTTCCCTTCGATCGAACCTTGGACGGACAGAGTAGATTTATTTTCCGACCGACGTAAAACCCCAGTTTGGTGGCTGCATCCCGTAAGCAACACCAAACCTCGACTTCAGGTTCGATTCAGTGGAGTCATGCCTTGTACGCGCTAGCTCATCATTTGCTTCATTATATCTTGTGTGCTTAACCTGAAATTGCCTGAAAGTCAAACTGGCTTACGGTGAGTTTCCCACTTGGGATTGGAGAATAAAAGCACAGACCAAAAGGCTAACAACTGCTGTAATCGTTGTAGTCGCGTTTGGAGACTCCATCTATCATATCCACGTATTTAACGGGTAAATAATCAAGAACAGACATGGAAGAAATATAGCTATAAAACAAGAAGGGATAGAGACTAACACCTTGAAGAACTCATTGAGTGGACGATAGAACCGAAAAGTTCTGACGTTGTCCGGGCATGCGTAGGGGTGCCCTGATCACCACAGATGATACAACGAAATTTTCCTACCACAACAAAAAGTTGTTTACCGTAAATACATACCGTCTGACCTCGTTTTTACACACCATTCATCTGTAAGTAAGCTCCACCTCGTAGTGAACAGTGATCAGGCGCAGATAACCTTCGGGCACAAGTTACACGAAAATATCAAGTTTTACAGTCATGGAGTGTCGCGGCATCTATCGTTGCNTACAATCATTGAATCGGACTGTTCGGAGCACTACGGTGGACAAGCCGTGACGTGTCGTTGGGGGATAAAAACATTATGCTTATATCTGGTTTCCTCAGGAGCATCCCAGCTTCCGTGCTGGCCCCAACGGTTCACATCGTTTCAGGGTAGAGNGGATACGGCTTTGACTGAAAATAGGTGATCAGAACGCATTGCTCTATACTGTTATTCTCAACTGGAGAAGTGGAAAGTATGTTAATGTAGGATATTCCCATTGAAGTATGGTTTATTTCCGGTCTGAGTAGCTAACATTTTTCCCGGTTTCGGTGATTTCTCGCGTCTATCGTCAAGTGAACTAGGTGCTAAGTGGGATACAATTGGATAATTTCTTGATCCGGAAAGCAAACTGTTTCATTTTTTCCTATGATTTGCGATTAAAATTTCAAGATTGTGCTATCTGAATTTGGTTGAACTAATTATTCATGTTTTTTCGGTGCTTATTCTCTCTTTCGAAATTTCTTTCTTCATGCTTGCCAGTTATCTGTTATTTTGGCATGAGTGCAAAGCTCCTCTCTCACACGGGTACACACACATATGCCTGTTTTATCGCATACTTCATTCTCTTTCCCCCTTCCGCACCTCAGTTAGATGTCAGTCCGGACGATCGACTGTACGGCATTTGGCGTCAACTTCTTCCACACTTGTTATCCGATCAGATTTTTGTTTGGGCTCATCAACAAGGTGGACATGCACTAATTCACCCGTTGAAACCAATGCCTGGCCTATGGCCCGGTTTCCCAAACTATCATGCACAATCACCGGCATCTCACCCCACTTCGACTCACATTCGACATGGGCCTAACGAGAACCCATCCCAAACCTCGGGAGCGCAGTCAAGACCAGTTGCGTCGTTCACATCTAAAGCAAATCCGACATTCACAGCCAAGACCCCGCGGCTTACATCTGCACACATCGGATCGAATTTCATAAGGTGAAGGATTGTCTGACTTGTTCTTATCTCAACTGTACGCATCCATGTGAATATTCATCATCTGCATCACTCACAATTTGCATATATTTTTCGGCAGTCTTTTCAATTACACTTTAATCTTTTTCATCAGTGTTAATACTTAGCTCAAATAACCAAATTCCCACTACTTACGTTCCGAATCCCCATAGTAAAGAACCGTTTATTATATAACAAGCAAGATGTACAGTCAATGGTTAAACTCCATTATCATGCAAGCTATTGTACAGTGGAAGTGAGGGAACATTCGTCTAAAACAACTTGCTAATTCTGCACTTGTGTATAGACGCGGTGGGAGAAAATATTCGATAGTTATTTTGGGACACCTGGTAACCTGGTAGTTTAACGACAAGTAACCGATTACACAGTCATAGATGTTGTGGTTGGAGATCTATGGGGGAGAATCGAGGATTGGGCGAATAACTTTACACTGAATAAGGTCCGAAATTGCATAAGAAGAAGAGGCAGTCCTACTTCAAACGCGGCTACAAGGTTCCATTGTTGGACGTATTTGGATCTTTTGAAAAGTGTTGAACAGAGAGGGGTGAGAAACAGCGGAAAAGGTAGGAAAAGACCTAGACGCACGCGACTGAAGTTCAAAAATATGTGGAGGCCAAGATTTGGGAAGAGTAGAGTTTTGGAAAATGTGGAATGAAGTGTACAATAATCAAAATATGGATTAAGAAAACATAAATTGCTTTTAAGAGATACAAACACAAGATGTTTTGGTGGAATTGCGCATCATTCAGTATTCACTGCTTTAAGCAGCAATAGTACACAAGCTAACAATTGATCGTGAGTGATGACGATGATGGTGGAAACATGGGATTTATTTTTAAAAAGAAAACACTCGAATGACATCTTCAATAAAACTGTGGATGGTTTAAGTTTTTGGCTCCTTGGTTGAGGACCCCGAGATCATGGTCACCGATGGTTAGCGACACTGAGCGCTATGGTTGGGTGTCACTAACAGTGGCACTCATACATCTACTCATTATTCTTGCAACATCTGTCTATATAAATTCGCTATCTTCCCCTTGAATTTACTCTCAACATTCCAATCTCCANCAATCTCCATTTTGCTTTTTATCCAAATGGACGACCAAAAGACGGCAACCAAAATCGGCGCACGAAAGTGTATGGTTAATGGTTGTAAAAACTGAAACTACAAATGGTTGTCAAGGAAGAGAAGCGAGAGGGTGGGATGTTGCACGGAACATTGTAGGATGCCAGAGTTCACGGGGAACATCCTCGAAATGATTTCATTATGATGAACCTAGAACGAACAGGTCACAAAGGAAGCCTAGCACCCAAGTGATGAAACATGGGGAAGTTTCAAAATTGGAAGTTCCGTCGGGATCCAGTTGAACGCTTGGGAAGAGTATAGATTGGTCAGCTTTGACTCGCCTTGGTGGTTATTAACCTAATACGGACTATATGACTTTTATATCAACATCTCGCCGGTAGTTTTGTGGCAGCAGAAGCCATATTGACAGTTGTCGAGAAGTTCGCGGCGTTCCAAGGGACATGGAAGTTGTTTCACAATCACTATTCCTGTGGCCATACTCCTTACCTCGGGAGGGAAATGGCGTTTAGCAGCAGGTGGAATACGCACCGCAATAAAGATATTTAGAGGGAAGAACACGGAGAACAGAGAAGTTTTGACCACGCTTCTTAAGAGTCCGTCCTACCCCAGCCACTGGGAGAGAGCGCAATCCGCATCAGTACTTTGAAAAGCCATGATACGAATGAGGAAATCTGTCATAGAATAACCTGAGGATATACTTGGGAATAGCACACGACTTCTAACCTTATGACTCTGATGAGGTGTGTCGATTCAGGACTCCCAACCTATCCTTGTATTGGGATGAGAAACCGCATAACAGTGGCCCTATCGAGTGGTGGGCTACACTCACATCGTCAAGATGCGGTCGACAGACCTTTTTGGCTTTCACAAGAAGCTCGTTATTCCGATGGAAAACCTATGTCCTCAAGCATCCCTACTTTTCGTCCGAAACCGCTTATTAATGATACCAACTCAGATTCAAGTTTAATCACCGGAGTCGTCGATCTGCTATTCGTGACCAAGAGACGCGCCCGATAGCACAGACTCCGGCTCCGGTCACAGCATTCACGGGTAGATAGAAAAAACACAAATGCGCCAGTCGAAGGATATTAGAAAGTCCCGGAAGCAAATTTAGTCAATTGAATTGTAACATCAAGATGTTCTATGAGAAGCGAATATTTAAACGACAGTACTCATAATGATATTATTTTTTGGAAAAGCTGATGTCGTCGGTTTTTATGTTCTAGAGATCCGAAAATGCTATATTTTATTTACAGTTAATCCCATTTTTGAATTTAAATAGTGTTTTTGTAACAACCTGATCATCATTTTGTGGTTTGATTTGAATTTAATGAAACTGTATTTGTTCCAGAAAACATGATATAGTTTGTAATGGCATACCATTGTGTCAGGACACTATTGTTTGAATACACCAGTATTTAATGGTTGCATGACGGTTTCGACAGTTTCCTCTCATAGCCCTTAGAGATGTCGCGAACGTATACAGAAACAGCGTAACACGGCTCAGACCAGATCAATTAATCATAGTTCTGTTTTTTCACCACCTTGTTGATTTTAAATCTCATCAATCAGTGGCACAAATGCAGCTCATACCAAACCGGTTCCCTCCTCGGCCGGTGTACGGCCCAAGGCTACCACTGACCATCTGCTCCCTGTCCGTCAGTCCACAGGCTGTGCACGGCCACGTGTATATGCGACCCGTAAACGCCATGTGTCGGCCAACGCGATTCTGTCCACGTGTCCCAATTCGCCTCGCACAGACAGCCCCCGTGTAATTCACCGCAATCCTCTCATTTCAGTCGATGAGCATAGCTCTGAGACGGTGTCCGCAATTTCTTCCACACACAGTGCACTACCCTCTGCTCTCGCTGAAAGAACAGACGCCACAAAGGTTCATTCGCAGTCTATCAACACTGTCGTTGCTGCCCATACGCCTTTACTGTCCGCGGTGAAAACTGCACCAACAGAGGTGGTGTCCAACCCATCAAGGTTGGCGAATGTTACGAGTAAGTCTGTCCCTTTATCCCCACCCGATCACCTTTTTGTTTTTCACTATAGTTGTTTCATCATCGAGGTTGATTTTAGACAGTTCCTGTTCTATAGTAAACATTCGTCATGAACACTTCCTTGGCAGAAAAGCTGTGACTTCGGGATTGGTCCACTCTTCATCTATTTGATATTCAATAGCAAAACTCTTTATCATAATAATTCACTGTAGCTTGGGAAATTCTGATGTCTTCTTTGAAAATTTACCAACGGTTCATGCTGATGTATAGAATGGATATAAAAACGAGACCTGGTATCGAAGCTGGTAAATCGCGGTACAACAGGAAAATGCTCGGTTGTTGTCTTTTAGAGGCTCAGTGGTAAGTAGATTCCATCTATCTGGAACACGAGTACACGTAGCTCGAACAGTACAACCATTGAGCCGTTTGTGCAGTTTGGTTCCGTTAAACTCATGGATTCACCCGTGGATTACTCTTATTCGTCATACTATGGAGCAATATCCTCAACTCGTAATCGTGTTAAATAAACTGAATGTTGTGGAATTCAGTCAGATTTTCTGACACCTACTCATTTCGGTACATCCATTATCGGCGAATTGAGTCATTTTTTTATATGGTTAACCTTTTTATTACGCATCTTAGTGTGATGAACAGTGGACGGGGTAAACCGCTTAGTCACGGGGACCTGGTGTTCAGTCATGGAAACCGGTAACATAAGCAGCGGGACTTGGATTGGTAAACCACATAAGTCCCCGCTAGGTTAGGCATGGTATTAAACCGGACGACAGAAATGCGGCCTGACATCAAAATTGACCTCTTCAGCGAGCAAATCAGTGCGTGCTTTTCCGCATGTGTGTGTGTGCACAAAGTCCGATTTTGTGAGTTAAAACACTTTAACAGAAGAAGATCCTTGAAGCCTATTGAGGCTAAACATCAAATACCTGAGGTGTAGTCCAATGGATGACCGCTTCACCATCTCGGCTGCTGTATTTTCATTCGGATTATTACAGTGCAGCATGGAAATAATGATGATTTCTAAAGTCCATCAATTGACTGCAGCTGATCTGCTACTTTTCCGGTCCCCGGTGGTGCACCTACCTTCCCATTCTCTTTCAGCGTTGAAATGAGGTCGACCGCTGCCATGAGTTGTGAAGCGCTCATGGGTGGTGGCAGGCGATTCGGTTGATCGATGCAGCCGTCTGTTCACTAAACTGGCCCTGAACCAATAAACACAGAAATGATGACACTCGTTTGTAAGTGACCTACAGCAGATGTACAGCCCGACTACCTGCGATTGTTCGAACATTGATGAATGACTCGACCAGCGAAGATTTCCATGATAACTAAAATTAAGGACGATTTAAGTGTTTACAGTGTATTCTGAGTGGTGGACTTTTCATTACGCGATTTATGGGGTTAGTCGAATCAAAAAAAACTTGGGGAGACGCAAGATAAATATTGACTCTGGTCGGAGTTATTAAGTGGCCTTTGTTAATTGACCAATGACCTAGCAACTTCGCCTGTTCTTCAACTGTTTCTCATCCCAACAGTTCTATGGTTATATGCCGGATATTTCCAATTTAATAATCGACAGTACCGAACGGAACAGACAGGATTTGATTCATTTTGGAAATTGGGATATCTTTTCTAAAACTAAACTGGAAACCGCTTGGAAGACAACTTAATACTGCGTATAAAATGCACCCACAAAGAACACAACATCATGGCGACATCCGTCAACGAGCGCGTTTCCATTCACGATCTATGTCTTCCTCGTTTCCACACAGAAAGTACCTGGAGAGACAGGGATCAATCGACCTGTAACATACGCTGGATGAGCGTAGATTCAGCTACAACTTTTCGTTGTTACAACTTAATAAATCTATTTTACAAATTTCTACTTTAAACTTGATACTTGGTTCACATATATGCTCCTTGAGTCACCGTCCTTAGGTTTATTGATTGTCCCACCCAACGAATAGCTCATCTTTCTCCTGCTTTCTAAGTCTACTGAAGGGCCAAACGATCAAAATTTCGCTTCTGCTTCATTCCGCCCTGTTTGGTCGTAAAGTGGGGATGAGAGGTTTGCTGGGTGTTGTAGGACAAAACTTTTATGCCGGTTGCGAACCGGGACCAAAGCAACTCCGTGACAAAGACCCCTAAGTTATCGTGAGGGTATACTAACAGCATGTGGTCCACGAGCGAGGTCATTGTGTGTCTATGTTCTGATCGTTGTGTGTCTGTCTGCAGCGTTAAGGTCAGGCGCATCTTCACCTGCATCTGTCATGTGTGTTCGATTGATTCCAACCATGTGTGCACACCCATGAACGCTTTGGTCAGCGCGAAAACCCTCCTGCTCTCTGTTGTTAGTCAAACCGTGGGGATCGCAAAATGAATCTCTACCGGTCCCAGTCGTTTGCCTTTAAGCTGATAGGTGGGTAGATTAGATGATTAATTCGTCGTGTAAATGAGGCGTGAGCTGAAAAGCTAGGAAGCACTGGACAGGTGTTTTGACTTGGTTGGGTCTCATTGAGAGTGCAATAGATCTTTCACTGCATTTCAGGATTAGTTAAGTACAGTCAGTGGTCATCGTGATGCAGAGAGAGGTGGAGAGACACGTCGATCGACTCACTGAACAATCGCCTTGTATCATAGTCTTATACGTTAATGAACACGGTCGATCGTGATTTTCGGGCCGGCATAGGAAGAGGATAAGTTATGAATCCAATGCTGTCTAAGTAGACGTAGAGAACCACTACATGAGAATCAGTTATAGAGCGAACTGCCATCTGGAAAATTGGGTATGGAAAGTGATCAAGCGATGATGACACTGCCAACGCTTGACTTGTCTAAGATACAGGTGCTATTCTTCTAAGCAGTTCTGGTAAACAGATAGTAATATAAAAAGATCATTGATCGGTTCGATGGTTTACTTAAAGCAAGAGACGTGACGGCCGGCTAACCCGAGAGAGAACCCACACATTGTCCACGACTGCGAGTCCTTGGAATGCCCAGAGAACTTCGGTTGTGCACAGCAGGAGTGCCGTCATCACACGGATGGACTACAGGTGACAACAAGGATAACAGAAACATTACGATCCAGTGACCAGACAGTCTCGTGTTAGTTTGAGAGATTCCAAGCTACGCGAATCGCGGAAAATGATCCAATCAGACCACGGAGGGGATCAGAGGGAATCTAATTGTTTAAGGTCACGGGTGGGGTAGCCGGATGAGCAATGCTGAGGTTAGGGGCAGAGTTTTGGGTAAATACGGTCGCCCACTGGAGCAAGTGGCCGACCTCCATAGATTACGTTGGCTGGGACATGTGTTACACATGTCACCAGGTAGGTTACCACGGCGAGCGATGTTCGCCGAAGAAGATACAGAGTGGAAAAAAGCCAAGGGTGGTCAAGTTAAGACGTGGCACGAGGGTATGTAAACCCTAACCAGGAAACTGGGTCACATAGGTCCTGTTAGGCTCTGGATGATGGTCACCGATGGTTAGCTACACTGAGTGATATGGCTGGGTGTCGCAAACAGTGGTCACCGATGGTTAGAGACACTGATTGATATGGCTGGGTGTCGCAAACAGTGGCGCTCGTGCTATGAAAACCCTAAGCAGGTAACTGGGTCACATAGGTCCTGTTAGGCTCCCTGGCTGGGGACCTCGGGATGATCGTAACCGAAGGTCACATAGGTCCTGTTAGGCTCCCTGGCTGGGGACCTCGGGATGATCGTAACCGATGGTCTAGGCTCCCTGGCTGGGGACCTCGGGATGATCGTAACCGATGGTTAGAGACACTGAGCGATATGGCTGGGTGTCGTAAACAGTGGCGTTCGTGCATCTCCTCAATTTCTTTGCAACCTTAGTCCACTGAACTTCTCCATTTTCCTTTCGAATCCACTTTCAACTTTCCTTTCTTCTCCTATTCTTCAACCCAATGGGCAGCCAGAAGACAGCAACCAAAACCGGCGCACGAAAGTGCATGGTTAATGTTTGTTCAAACTGAACTGAACAAGGTCACGGGTGAGAGGGACAATTCGATGTGAAACGATGGAGCAATCACACTGCAATCCACTTTTTAGTGTACCGGTCCCAAATGCATCGCACAGTTGAATGCTAGCTATGCCTTCCGCACCCCGTTTTTCACATTGCTATTCTTGTGTACATTGTCTCCGGTATACTAGGCACTCGTTTTTCTTTTTACCAGTTCCTAATTTACCACATCTGGCTTGTGTTCTCTCTCGATAACCTGGATACAATCTGTCAGTCATGTCATTGGTATTTTAATTCCTACTCTTCTAACCCCGATGTTTGAACCATTGAACTAGCAAGTTAGACACGGTACTGCACGGATTGATGACAAAGCTGTCTATCACCAAAGCCGAATGACAGTGGCGGGTTTAAACCTCGGGCCTTAGTATGCCTGCGGGAGC